TTTAAGAGATAAACTACTTTATTTCGTGGTTTAACTTTCTCATAAATATCACTTATAGATAAGTATTTGAAATGTTTTTTACATATGCTGTAGATACTGCAAAAGTCAAGAGAAAATTCAGAGATTTTTATTCAGTTCACTTCCGGTCGTGTGTTTTCCTGTCTTCACAATTAGAATTTGTTCTCACAATTGTTCGGCAACAGTAAAAGACTGAAGTCTAAAATTTTGAGTCAGTCATCAGTTCATTTGCTTCGTGTAAAAATCGTGTGTCGTCATAACTTCCGGTCGTGACAGGAAACGAAGCAAAAAAGTATTTTTTAACTTATTTTGTTTCTACATAAGTTATAGGCTAATACCGACGTTGGAAAAGACATGTTCATGCAAACAGGAAGTCGTATAACGGAAGACCTTCTCATTACTAGTAATGAGTTTCTAGTTATTATTATTATTATTATTATTATTATTATTATTTTTTAGACAAATTTTGTGCACGCAATATCTTGAGAACTATTCAGTAGTTTTTCAGCAAACTTTCAGGGATAATGCAATATAAAATGCCATTGTTACATTTGAAAGAGTTTTGGAGAAATTCGCTTCCGGTTCCAAGTTATGGGCATTTTTCTGATTTTAAAATGAAATTTTATCCACGCGAGATCTAAAGAATGGCTAAAGATATGAACTGGAGACTTGTTGGAGAACATAGAACATGACTTTTAGATATGCGGGTTTGCCTTTTCGTGCGTCGTGAGTACTTCCGGTCGCTACCGGAAGCGAATTAAAAAAATCAATTTTTTCAACTTTTACGTTTTTCAATATTTTTCTTTGATTTTAAGAGGGGTAATAGGGACTTTTATCCTAATGTTTAAAATATAATTTGTTTTTAAAACTATCCACCAGAAGATATTTTAAAAATAGATTTTTTAGACAAATCTTGTGCACGCAATATCTCGAGAATTATTCAGTGGTTTTTCATCAAACTTTCAGGGATAATGCGCTATAAAATGCCATTGTTACATTTGTAAGAATTTTGGAGAAATTCGCTTCCGGTTCCAAGTTATGGACATTTTTCTGATTTTGAAATGAAATTTTATCCTCGCGAGATCTACAGAACGGCTAAAGATATGAACTGGAGAATTGTTAGAGAGCATAGAACATGACTTCTAGATGTGCGGGTTTGCCTTTTTGTGCGTCGTGAGTACTTCCGGTCGCTACCGGAAGCGAATTAAAAAAGTCAATTTTTTTCAACTTTTACGTTTTTCAATATTTTTCTTTGATTTTAGTAGGGTAATATTTCTTTATAGATGCAATTTACTGAACATAATAGGAATCAGATTCCTTGATCGTCATATGGCGAGACTTGTATTGTTGCGAAACCTTCCAGTCTTTTCATTAATGTGTTACTAATTGGAATAGTCCACTTTGGGGGTAAAGAGGAATATAAAATGTGTAAGAAAACAGCGCTGTCTTTATATTACTTGCGCGTATACGATTTGTTGTATGTACAGTGTGATAAATAAACATTCTTAGGCTCGAAAATCAGGCTATAGCAACATATTTTTTTTAAAATTTCATTGAAGCTATCACGTTCACTTATTCAATTGAAGACACATTTCAAAGAAAAGGTGCGAAGATTTACTCGTGACGTCTGGCGCGAAATAATGTATCTTGACCCGTCTTTCACAAATGGTCTGATGTAGTAGTGTAGAAGGACAGAAAAAGATTACACGGACATGTCTGTATTTGGAATTGCATAGAATAGAAAGTTGAATGCATTAAGAATAAAGGAAGTAAACACAATAGTTTTTTAGCTTTTATCTCTAACAGATTATTTTCTCTGCCATCAGCTATTGTTAAAGTAACAAATTCGATGTAAATCTACTAGCACTTGCACAAAATTTAGCTGGCTAGTTTTCATCCTATAATTCCGCACTATAAGAAAAAAAAATAACCTGCCTGACACTCGTTACTTCAGGGAATGAGTGCAAGGTAAACATCGATGATGGCTGGTACATTGCGCTAGTGTAGTGGTTTCAATATTAAAGAACAAGGTTCACTTAGGGTCTTTTTTGGCCCTGTGAATTTCAGAAAAACTGAAACTGCTTGGTTTTAGTTGACAATGCATTAAATATCATTTAGACCTTTGATGACTGCGTATCTATAAAAAATAACGTAATTTTCTGGCTAGCCTATGCATTAAGACGTCATGAAATGCGTCATTTTCATCGTATCCTGAAAATTTCTACAAAACAGCCAATTTTCAAAGCTATTTTTCGATATTTAATATAGGACGTAACCTCTGATCTTAAATATGCAACTTTTAAATGATAGAACTATTTCTGAGGATTACAAAAACTGTTTTATTTTTTAGATCAGAGGATGCGCTCATATTATTTCTCTTCTTTCTTTTTTGAACTAAAACTTGCATCACTTTATTGCATCTCTTTCGCTGTTTTGAAATATGTTAGATTCCACCGGAAATAAAACGTCAACTTCCGGTCTATTTCTCGGCAACAGTAAACGACTGAAGTCTAAAACTTTCAGGACTGATAGTCAGTCATCAGTTTATTGAATCGTGACAAAATCTTGTATCGCCGTTACTTCCGGTCGTGACAGGAAGTGATGCAAAAAAGGGAATGGTTAATGGTTAGCACGTTGGATTTTCAGGCTGACGACCAGGGTTAAATCTCCAGAGTGTCTGAATTTCTTTTATCACTTTTTCAGCTTGAGTTTTCCTTTTTTCAGAATCGGACGGAAGACCTCCCATTGCTCGCAATGAGTTTCTAGTTATTATTATTATTCTTCTTTTTTTTCTACTTTCTTCTCCGGTACTTTTTTGTCCGGGAGTGTTCTCATAGAACCACTCGTCCGATTGACATGAAACCTTTTTAGGGTTAATAGGCATGTTGTGTAGGTGTTCGAAACGAAGGTCATTTTGCGCGCACATGCATGCACGTGCGCGCGCGTGCAATGGGTGAAATGACTGATATACTTGATGAAGCCGTAACTTTTATATTTTTTTATGAATTGCTTTGAAACTCAAAATATAAAGATATATTAGTAGTCTAGACAAGATAACATGGTCAAATTAGCGTGAACTCACGCGCATGCACGTGCGCTCTTCTCTGATTGGCTGATACAAAAATCTCAGTAATTTCCTTGTTTTTTGACAAAATACTTTGAAATTTAGAATATTAGTATATATTATAAGGTGCTACAACATGTTATATAGGAAATTTCTTGAAAACACGCGCATGCAGGTGTGCTGCAATCTGATTGGTTGAAACTTTAAATGTCTATAACTCCCTTGGTTTTCAACAAAACAGGATGAAATTTACGACATGGATAGGCACATAGAGCTCCTACATTATAATACTATCAACATTGAATGCTAGGCCATGCATGCGCGTATGCTGAATTCTGATTGGCTAATACTTAAAGGGTTACATCTCTCTTATTTTTCAATTAGATTCTTTAATATTTAACACAAATGTATGTATTGTGAGACACTATTAAGAAAATAAATGTGAAAAATGTAGAAAACATATGCAAGCACATGCGCTGAAATTTGATTGGCTAATACCCATATGGCTCTATCGGAGTAGTTTTCCAATGAAATACCCTTAAAAATAAAGCGTCCATCTATATTACAAAAGTATTGTCTAATTTATTGAAGCTTGTAGGGAATGGGGCATCATAAGGGATTGGGAAGCCGTTTGGGGAACATCTGTAACGGTTCCCGTTACAATTAGCACTAGTTTCTTTTCTTATAAGAAAAAAAGGCATCTAGGATAGATGAGATAAAAATGGATGTGGTTATTTTTGGTATATAAGAAGATGGGTGAACATGACGAGCGAAAAGCCTACAGTGTTACAAACATGAAAGTGAAAAATTAAATCTTAATTATATCATAATTTTCCTTGATATTTCATCTAACTTTAAAATATACTTTATGTAAAATCTCTAAAATTTGCAAAACTTCCTCAAATATTAGAATCATTTGCCTATGAAATATTACAAACACACTAAAGCGGGCAAAAAGAGTCATTTTCTCATACTATAACACGAATTTTCGACGTGAGTGGGTCTTCGCTCCACTTTTTTGAAAGTTAATCCTCACAGTTTGCATAAAAATATACATATTTTGGTTACCAAAAATATTGAGCAGAGACCCACTATGCCTTAAAAATATACTTTTATGACATAACAATAACATCTTTCCGAGAAATACTTAAGTCCGTTAAGTCAAGGGTCATATCACAAACATGATTTAAATGCCACTCTTTGTCAAGACTTGTGTTGTCGAGTGGTTAGCGTAGTAGTCTCCAAAGAAAATGATACTCAGGATTTTATTGCTGGGTTTGAACCCCACGAATACCACATTATATTTTTAATAAAAGAATAAATTTTGCCGAGAAAATTTTCCTCAGAAAAATTTTGTTTATCATAATTTCATAGATTTTAGAATGGGAACTTTACTCTTAATACTAAATTTACAAATTGAACATGATTTTTATATATCCGAAGCTATAGGCTTTCTGTACACTATGTTCGCCCATCTCCTTTAGGTCTTAATTTAGTTGTAAATGATTTAAAAACAAAATTAATAATACAGAAGAAATTTTGCACTTTCTTTGGTGTAAAAAAATCTTTTTTTTTTTCAAATACGTTATAAATCTTTATAAATTTTTATCACTGTATAGAACATTGTAAAACATTGAATGGAAAATATATATTTTTTAATAAAACCAACCCTAGCTTTTAGTCTAGATTCATCCTGCAAAAAAAAAAACCTTTTCTTAATATCTACCGATTTATGCGCTTGTTTTTAACTTACCTTTATCCAAAAATTCTTCTATATACTGTATTTATTTCTTTCTATCATGTTTCAGCTGTTCCTACAGACTGTAAGGACTTTCTAGAAATCGGCTATAGTAATTCAGGTATCTATGAAATCTTTCCTTATGGGAACAGCTCCCGCCCTGTCAAGGTTTACTGTGATATGGACACATTGGATGGAGGATGGACGGTAATTAGTTCATTTATTAAGCTTCAAACTTGGTTAATTTCATGTAAAGTTTAATTTCTCGGGGAGATCTGTAGGAGACTATAAATATTCACTTTCTGAGTCAGTCTTCATTTCATGTTTTTCTTACAAATGATCTTTATAATAACAATTCAATAAAAATGTTTCTTTCTTAGGCCATTCAAAAACGAGTCGATGGATCCGTCAGCTTTGACAGGAATTGGGCAGAATATAAGAATGGTTTTGGTGAACCGGAACAGGAAGTATGGATAGGTAAAAATAAATAAGATTGAAATCGGATCTTTGATAGGTAATTCGTTGCTTTACGTCCCTTCGACGATTTTTCACTATAATGGGAAGTTAATCGGTTTACTGATTTTAATTTTAAAATCCGGCAGGAGGAGGAATAAAAAAGTTTCAAAAGCTTAAGTAATAAAAATTAAGAAGTTGATTTGAGTTCAATTTTTAATTATCAATTTATTTGACATTTAAATACCCCCCCCCTTTTTCAATGCATTCCTGTATGCTGCCTGCTTCCAAGCAGTGATGTATGAATCGCAAATTGGCCGGATAATTAAAAACTTTGATGCCAGCACAGTGAGGTGATCGTCGGTGGGTTTAGAAAGAACGCAAAAAAAGCAAATGGTGTATTTTTCTGAATTACACCTACAAAAGTCGTTTTAAATGTATTAGTAATATTATATCTTAAAAAAATTAAATATTCTTTTGGTCTGACTTCTATCGTCAAATATTGTATAAACTGCTATAAATTTCTTTTGCATACGAGTAGTAAGTGATTTCAATTGGAGTTCACAGTAACGGCATGGCTTTTTTATGTTCCTGGACAATATCGCCTATAGTCTGTCCATGATTCGATTAAACGATTGCAGTGAATGAATTTGATGGTTCGAGATTTTAGAGTAGAATATTAAAATTAATGTCACAATCTCATCCCTCTATCATTCCATGTGCTTCTAGTAATCAACGACTAAAAAGGTGCGCTTAAACTGTTATGCTTACGATGCAGAAATAAACGTCTCTGTGACGTCGGTGTTTAAGAATTAGGTACGTCGATCCCTACTTCCTTTTTGGGTGGACCCTGAGGTCCACGTAGAAAATATATAAACGGTCTTAAACCGGATGCCATGGGCTTACGTCAGGCTACGCATGCGCGAGATTGCTAGAGAGTTCGCCTCTAAGACAACTTGCCCTTAGAGCAATTCGCCCCTTTCGAATTAGAATATGTCAATCATTGTCGAACCTCGCTCTAAAATTTGTACATCGTATTTATGTATTCTTTGGCGTTACCAACATCCGAATTTTTCATTTATACATACATCCGTATACACAAACTAAATTCTCAGGTACAAGCATTTTAAGTAAGTAGGTAGAACAACTTTTATAGATAGCTTAACAGCTTGAACATGTTTAAAAACTTAATTCAACTACTAGGTTTTAAAGATAGTCTTTGCCATGTTTACCGGCATTAGTTTTGTGCATCAAGGTTCGCAAAATAATTTGATAGACAGCAATCCAAATATAGCTTGATAAAGGCCTGTAGCAACGTTTTCCCATGTGCGGGAGAGGGAGAAACATCAAAAAAAAAATTCTGCGTAATACAGATCTGTGCTACACGTGTATCATCTATCTTTCCAGTGATAGAATCTTCCGTGTAAATCTAGTACAGATGTCAAGTCCCAGCCGTTATGCATACATGTATCGAAATAGACCGATTTTTTTTAATGACAAAACTATCATAGGCACTCCCCAGCTTAATTGTTAAAAAAATATTACCACTTATACGAGCCTGGTCTCGGATAAGTGAGTTTATTTCAGTAACCCTAGTAATATTTATCTATTCCGTATAAGTTACGTACATTCGGATAAATATAGATTTTCACCCTTGGTCACTAGCTATCATTCCGGATAATTGAGGTCCATTCGTATATAGTCTAATAGTAAGTTCTCTTCTACCTCCTTTCTCAAAGAATCGATTAAACGGTAAGGTCATGGAAAATTTTTGGGAGTTAAATTGTGGCAATGTTTTAAATTTTTTATATCAAATAAGTTTGATTTTTAGTATAACTATTGAGGTTTGTAGTTTCAAAGCAAATTAGACGTATCGATGGCGAAGTTTGACTTTGGATTTGACCTGATTGGACTTTTTCGTAAATTGAATTGATTTTACGCGACATTGTAATGTGTGAGTTACAGATAAAAGGAATAAATTAAGATCAGTTTGGGGGTCAAAGGATTGTTTAGCTTGAGTTATTATTTTTAGGAGTGAAATGTTAAACTTCGAGTCCATTATAGCTATAACGGGGGGGGGGGGGGGTAATTTCATAAAACACGGAATATTCTAAGAAGCCGGGCTTATTAGACGGATTTTAGTTTGTTTTCTACATAGATTTATCGTGCTTGAAGGAGGTTTATTGATTCGCATTTTACAAAATGTAATCGTCGTTAAATCGGAGAAAGCATTCAAGAGTTTGTGCACTTTCACTTTTTGAAGTAATCAAAGTACTGTATGTACTGAGAGGAGATTTATTAAGTTGTAGTAGTGTTATGCTCTATTTGCAGACTTGTAACGTTTCATTTGTTTATTGGTCTTTTGAAAAAGTATGGAAGAGTACTGTTTGTTATCTTTTCCAATTTTTTATTTTTTTTTTTCATGTTATCCTGGCATTTACATAGAACATGTTACCAAGAAAACAAAAAGGTCTAAGGTTTTACAGGTGATATTGTATGAACTGATTTTCCTATTACATAATGGGAGGGGAGTTAATTTGTATATTATGTTACACAACATATGGGAACTCATGTGGTCCACATGGTCAATTACTGCATAAAAATCCAACTAATGAAAGCAAAATCACAGTTTAATGAAATAGGATGAAAACATTTCTTATTAATTTTGCAAGCATTTGTCTCACAGTGAGCAGTCAAACCGTAGCAAAGCTGTGGAAATGTATTCTTCATATGCTTTAGAATAGGTATGCAAATTTGCAGGGTTCAGGCACAAGCAAGGAGCGAATGATATTGGTACAAAAGGCAGTAAGTACAATAAAAAACCTTAAGTAAGTGATAGTGATTACAGATATATGTTACCATGATTAATTATTTTCACCTACATTACCAAAAACAGGTCAACATTTTTAATTTTTTTTTTAAGACAGCTTTATCAGTGAGTCAACAGCTGCAGTGGGAACAAGATTCCTTTCCATCAAAGCATGACCTTATCACTTCCCCAGTAATTCATTAGAACAGTAATTAAAGATTTGCAAAAAAGAAAAAGTAGGAAATGTTGCAGTTGTACTACAACTAGATATAAAAGTGGAATTGGCAAATGATATATTTATCTTAATCCAGCTACAATTAATTGCAACTATTAGATTACATAATGAGGGAAAGTATAATTTGGTTAAGCGGTCTTTGTGTGTGTGTGGGGGGGGGGGCATATTTCAAGTTAACTGGTAATTTTTTAAGTAGATGGTCAAAATCAAATTGGTTCCTCATCTCCTTCGGATCGATTGAGTTCTGATATTTAGTTAAGCTATTAGAGCACTGTGATAGGCAGATTAACAAAGTGATTGGTCAGGAGTCTCACTCGGATAAGCAGCACACACCACTTGCTCCGTATGTTGTTTATCAGGCTTTATTTGAATGGATAGTCTGCTAACGCGTGCAACGAGACGGGGAAACAAAGCTTGTCGAATAATCATTTAAATATAAATTACCGTATATATGAATCAACAATTATCTAAAGATTTAATAGGTTGATATGAAATTGCAATATTGAATATCAAATAGTATATTGAATTTTCTAGTATATAAGAAAGGTCAAAACCAAGGAGTTAATACTGTGTTGTCAAAACAATATTGATCCATTTATTTAAGGTACACTACGATATTCAATTTTAAGCTAATCTGGTAAGGGATATCCAAGATATGTCCAGAAGTATGCCTTATCAAGTAAACCAGTTTTGTCCAGCGCACATACCCGTGGACAAAGAGTTGCAACATACTCAAGATTATGTTTTCTCGGATATTTTATGGTGCTTGTTTATTTTATTACGCACCTATGTCAGTGTCTAATGGGGATTTAAGCCTTGAGACTAATTTTATCATTCTGTTTAATTATTACCAAATACATGTATAATTGTGTGTAATACACAATGGTCCACGCTTATACCTAAATTTCCCAGAGATAAAACTACTCTCTCGTAGACATTTTTTTGAATACTCAGAACGTTTAGTTTCGCAATTACCTCGAATTATATAACTTAATGCCTTTGTTTTGCGATAAAGTCAAGAAAGTTATAAATCTCCCTTCATTTTCGGGGCATAACATATTGTTTACATATATTGTTTACGCTAGCGACATTGGAATGATACGAACAATAAGTATGCCGAATGTACAATGTAATGCCGATGGTTGCACATCAGAAAGCAAGTCAAAGTATTCGGAGTTTTTAGATTTCCAAAATAACGTTTATCAGAAAGAAATGATTAAACTTATTATTAGAATAGTCTACTTAGAGGGAAATATCCACAAAAATTTTACACAAGAGAGCTAGCATTTTAATTTCAGCAGCGTGGTGCACCGAACATTTAGCAAGATATTTCATCAAGGCTTCTTTCTTATATGTCCCTTAAAAATCTGCAGTGATTAATCTCATAGTGTAGTCAATAGCTATAGCTCATTGTCCTCAGCTATTAATCAACGTATCCTACCTTCAACGCAAAAGAGTTTCATTACGTTAAGTAATAGCGATATAAAGTATTCTTTCTTTTGTTTAAAATAGGTTAAAGTACCCCTATGGCATGAGGTTATATAAAGCTAAAATTAGTCGTACTTTAAAACACTTAATAGGTGATGATTAAATTAATAAGCCTTGGTAGTTATTGGTAATTAAAAAAAAAAAGTTAACGGTTGGAATGCAGGCATATAAGGCGTTTATCATTTTTCAGGGAAACTGAGAGCAGGTTGAGTCAGTATTGGATACTGTTTATCATGCCGATATGTTTTTTTTTTGGAGAATACAAAATTTAAATCCCATTCACTACAATGAGGGAGCAACCGCTTAAGCACATTTGCCATCAAGATGCAACAGGGGAGGTTATTTTAGCTTTGAAAAGCTGGCTATAAAATGCACATGTTTATGCATCCATTAAGTAGTTGTTACAAGGCTCACATATTTTTACTTTCTTTCATTCCAATGATTTATTTTTTTTGAATTTTGCTATGGATTATAATTGTTTGATAAATTGCGAAGAGGGAATTCGATTTATGCAGCTGGGGAAATGAGAAGGGGGGGGGGTTAAGGACACATATAATTTTAAAAGTATTCTAAAAGTTGAGAGGTGACGTAAATTTCTCGATTTTGTTCAATATGGGTCTGATACACTCCAAACTTTTTAGTACACCTATAACCAATACTTGCAAGGATAATTTAATTTTTTTATAAAAACCATAAAAATGCGTAACAGGAGTAACAGACTAGTAGGTAAGTAAGACGATTAAAGAAACCAACGGGACGGGAAATACAGTGCAGGTAAGGATCCACAATTTTAGATTAAACGGGGAGTTGTTTTATACTCGCAAGTCCATAATTGCATTTCAACACATTTGTTAAAATAATTATAACGGAATGGGTGAATGACCGTTGGCGATTTAAATTCATATTTTGTTTTAATGCATTGAATAGTAAATTGACTAATAAGTCACTTGTTTTATAACTTGTATTGGTGAATGAGCAGGCCCTGGTCGACGGTGACCATTTGCGTTGAGGTACTGCCGCTGTCACCATGGTTCTTGGCACCCCCATTGGTGGCGGTTGCAGTTCCATGTTTACTCGTGGTAGACACGAGTGTTCATGGCCCTTGCAAGTGGCGTATTCCGTCGCACCTCAACGCAACTGGAGGAGTGCAACACATATTCTTACGCTCATTCCATTGTTTATCCTATTGCACATGTAAATTGAAATTCAGGATTTGAATTTGTGCATTGGCTTGTAATTGACAAGCAGTTGACTTGATTGATATTGAATTGATTGATTGATTGAATTTGATTGATTGATTGATTGAACTTGATTGATAATTGAATTGGTGACGTTCATGCACTTGTGACCTACCCAGTGCATGATCCGCCCGATTTGGGTCGTCACATTTGTTGTATTGATTGTTGATTGTGGGGCAGCCCTGTGGTAGCCCCAGCAAATTGATCACCGCGGCCAGAAGCGCCAAATTAAACAAGCAAAATAATATCTGTTGTTTGTTTGATTAATAGGGAATCTGCAATAATACCACTTATACGAGCCTGGTCTCGGATAAGTGAGTTTATTTCAGTAACCCTAGTAATATTTATCTATTCCGTATAAGTTACGTACATTCGGATAAATATAGATTTTCACCCTTAGTCACTAGCTATCATTCCGGATAATTGAGGTCCATTCGTATATAGTCTAATAGTAAGTTCTCTTCTACCTCCTTTCTCAAAGAATCGATTAAACGGTAAGGTCATGGAAAATTTTTGGGAGTTAAATTGTGGCAATGTTTTAAATTTTACCCACCCACCCTCCTCTTGTTTTTAGAACAAATACTGCTGCTTTTTGTTATGTCATTGTAGCTGAAGACTGCCTGCTTCGTCCAGCTTCCACAAAAGCCTATGTCGCGGTGGTGGATTATGTGTGTTCGCATATTCCGTAAGGACAGCTTGCTTGGTCCAGCACCTGCATCAGCCTACGTGGCGATGGTGAATTTTGTGTGTTTGCGTATTCCGTAAATACAGCCTGATTGATCCAGCGTCCACATCAGCCTATGTGAAGGTGGTGAAATCTGTGTGTTTGCGTATTCCGTGATGACTGCCTGCTGGGTACAGCGTCCACTTCAACCGATGTCGCGGTGGTAATTCTGTGTGTTTGCGTATTCCGTCGCACCTCAACGCAACTGGAGGAGTGCAACACATATTCTTACGCTCATTCCATTGTTTATCCTATTGCACATGTAAATTGAAATTCAGGATTTGAATTTGTGCATTGGCTTGTAATTGACAAGCAGTTGACTTGATTGATTGATTGAATTTGATTGATTGATTGATTGAACTTGATTGATGATTGAATTGGTGACGTTCATGCACTTGTGACCTACCCAGTGCATGATCCGCCCGATTTGGGTCGTCACATTTGTTGTATTGATTGTTGATTGTGGGGCAGCCCTGTGGTAGCCCCAGCAAATTGATCACCGCGGCCAGAAGCGCCAAATTAAACAAGCAAAATAATATCTGTTGTTTGTTTGATTAATAGGGAATCTGCAATAAATATCTACTATACTATAAACATAACTATAGGCCATACAATCGGGGATAAAATTTAGCAATATTGCTATGAAAGCACAGTCACTCAAAGTAGGTAGATCAATGTATAAACTGTTAACGAAAGGTTTAATAACCTGTGCCAATTTTCAGAGTAACCAATGAACTCGTCCATAGATGCATTGAAGGTCGTTGTAACAAGAATAGATATGGGTTACATTCGACTTTTAATTTACTCCAATTTTCATTAGAAAAAAAACTGCGCATGTTATGAAACTGATGTATAGTTCTTTATGTCCGTAGCAAATACTGTCCCCAGTCTAAGCGTCACTAGCAAACAGTGCACACACCTGTGCTTGCAAGACCAAATAGCCTAGGTCTACACTCGTGCGATGAGATGTCAATCGCATCTTCTCAGACCTTTCTGGTGAGCTCGGAAAAACACTTTGTTTTGTCTAAAAGTTACGATTGCAGGTAATTACACAAAAAATTGATCGAGTTAATCTAGCATCGCTTTAGATAACTCGAGACCCTCTATAGTGCTCCAGTACAGGGTCGGATCCAGCAGTTTTTGAAAGGGGGGTCTAGGTCTCACCGCTGGCACTTAAATCCAAACCCGTAGCAACGGCTTTCAAAGGGGGCAACCTCCAAAAATAGTTGACAGGCCACAAAAAAATTAAATAAATAAATTAAATAAAAATAACAACCTGTACACACACTGTAAAATCCTATTTCGGGGGGGGGGGGGGGGGGGGCTTCGTCTAACTTTTTTGATTTCTTTTAAATGTTTAATTTTTCCGTATTTTGAACCTTCTCGTTACAAAAAGTGCGGGGGAGCTTCCAATGCAGATCAAAACTCATATATTAAAATTATAACAAAAGATTTTTTAAAGAAAAAGTGAGCCCCTCTCCCCCACATTCTGCGGGGACAATTTGAATCTTTCTCTTCTTTGATTAAAATATCCCCATAATATAAGGAGATAAATATTCTCTTATGCATACTCCCTTTCATGACTTTTTATGCATACTTTTTAAAGTTGGTTACTTTAGAAGATGGTTCAAAAATGGCGTAGCCGTACGTTCGCCGGAATCTTCCGATGATATCAAAGTGAAATCTTTCATGTTACGTGTGGGTGGTAGAGGCCCGGGGCCGGGGTTGTGAAGGTACACGGAGGGAAGCCATAAGCAAAACTCTATCTAGAGAGCAGAAAGGGCAGAGATTGAAGTACTTATTTTATTGAAAATACTAGACGTAAAAATATCTATATTACAGGAAAAAAACACACTCTCTCTCTTCCTCTTTCTGCAAAAATAAAGGGGGTTCCAAGACCCGGAACCCCCTCCCTCTCCCCCCGGATCTGCCAATAGAGTTAAAATTCAACCATTACGATAACTGCACGCTTAAGCCTGTTTTAATTCTGTTATTAATTTTAAAGGCTACATTACAATTGTGATGGATACCTAGATCAACATTTCATATTCATATCATTTCAAGGTCATGATTTTTTTTATCGTTACAGCCTAATTAAGCAGACTTAAATAACGACGAAAATTACAAGATACATGTAAAAAAAAAATAGTTACACCTTTGTTAAATCACTAAATCTAGAAATTTTCTTTGAATTTCGTTTAGAAACACATGCATATGGTTCACGTATTGCAGTCCTTTTTTAAAGGACAGCAACTTGTTTATTTATTATCTTAAAAGGGGTTCAGGGAAACAACGTTTTATATCATGCTAATCTTAGAGGAATATCAGTCATTAGCGTTAATTACGCTTTGATTGAATTCACGGGGAAAATGCACTTCATTTGTTGGCATGAACTGTTCAGTGGTTTATTCAATTTCTACACATTTTTTTATTTCTACCGACACCTTAATTTAAGGTGGAATTTTAAGTAAAATGTTCACACAAGTTAAATAATAGCTGAGGAAAAGTGTAATGTTCCACTTTTTATTCTGTGACATTAATAAAACCAGGGATTTGATACTTCAGGTTTCCTTGAAAGCCAAACTTGTATTCATTAACTACATAATTCAGTTAAAAATATAGTATTTATACTATATCATAAAAGAAAGACAAGTGAGATTTGATCATCATTTTAGATGAAAGAACCAAAGCTAAATAAGTCTGCCATAGTGACATTTAACCGCAATAAATATTAATATATAATCGATCGTCATTCGGAATAAAATAACCCATGGATTTCTGATTAGGTCGATGATCGGAAAAACAGTTTTACTTAAGTATAAATTAAATATGAGATAGCCTCAAACTCTTTAGTGATGTTTATTTTTTTTTTTTAATTGAAACAAAATTTTATTTTGCTGTGCACTTATCTTTTCTTTTTTTGGTTACAGGGAATGACGTAATCCATCAGTTGACAAAGGGAAATAGCTCCTCCCTGTATGTTTCCATCACACTAGAGAATGGTACAACACTGTACGAGTTGTACGAACAGTTTTCTGTTTCGGATGAAGCAGAGAAATATAAACTTTTTCTGGCGGGAAATGCTACAGGAACCTTAGGTACCTGATACGTATTTATCAATACAAGGGACACAATGGATGTGAATAAATGAGTTAATAGATAATAGTTGATAAATGTTTACGAACTGTGCAATTAACCTACAAAATCAAGATTACTCTATTTATAGCTACTGTAAATCCCTAATATTTCGCAACAACTTTATTTTCACGAGATAGTTCCTTTTATTTATAGGCGAGACAAAATTTCGGTTATTTTCTATATAGTATTTAATGAAAAAATACATGCGAGCAGATCAATTTCGCGTATTTACGCGAAAATAATATCCCCGCAAATAAATGTTATTTACAGTATTGCGAAACTATTTTTAAAAAACTTCTAAGGAACATATTTTAAAGGAGCACACGGCGGGTTTGACTGGTTCGGCAGGGGATGCTCATTCCTCCATGGCACTTGATCCCACCTCCGATGCTTTGGAGGTCAGTGTTTGCCCTGCTCCCGATTTGTATTGTTTTAGTGGACTTTGAGCTTGAATACTGTTTGTTATCTCCATGTTTCATTTTACCTGTTCAAAAATTGGATTCCTGAGTTATCACACGCACTAAGAGTACTGGTCTTGAATTGCATTCATTAGCTTTCAATAGAGTGAAGGAGTCAATTATTCGACTACTGTCTGTCGTGAAGGTTCTGCATGGCTAAGCATCTGTACACATAATGATTATTGTTTTTTTAAACTCTATTTTTAAGCTTTATCTAAACTCAGGTTCGGCTTTGACTTCCTACATTTAAGTTTAATCTTTCGTTGCCCCACCCTACCCTCGAGGTTCATGATTCGAATTAACTTGTATCTACACTGCCTGAGGATGCTTTTTTGGATGGAAGTCTTTGCTGTTATTGAGGAGATTTTTCCTATGTATTCCTATGTAAAACTGAACATCAATCGTGGTATTATCCACCTAGAGGTCATGTATTGAACAAACGTGAGTCTAGCCTTCCTTTGAATTCTTCCATTTAAATAAGATAAAGCATAGTTCTGTTATTCTTGAGAAAAAATATTGATATGACCAATTATGACTTAAGATTTTTAGAGATTTTTCTCATATATACATGTATTTCTATTTATAACTTTGATCCCCTGTTTTGGCCCAACCCTACCCCGGGGTTATGATATAGAAAAAATGAATCCTCACTACCTGAGGATGCTTCTGTATTTAAATATAACAAATCATGGTTTTGCTGTTCTTGAGAAGATAAAAAAAAATTTCCATATATTTTTATGATAAAATTGATTCCCTACTGTGGATCCACTTTACCCTGGAGGTCATTATAAGAACAAATATGAATCTATACTATATAATAAAGCTTTCACATAAGATTCATCTTTTCTGGTATAGTGGTTCTTGAGAAGATTTTAAAAAGATTCCATTCATTTTGCACTAATTCTTAATTATCTCCATTTGAAAGAGGGCAAGGTCCTCAACTTGAACAAGCTTGAATATCCTTTGAGACAAAAACAGAAATACATGTAATCTGAAATAATTTATGTAAATTCTTTAATTCTACAGGAGATAGGATGTTAAATACTGGGGAAGCTGCCCGTGATCTGTCAGGGATGCCCTTCAGTGCCCCGGACACAGATAACGACAACAGTGGAGGGAGCTGTGCTGCCGACCTGAGCGGGGGCTGGTGGTTTAACAACTGTCACTCCGCGTACCTTAACGGTCCCTGGGCCCCGGCGTACTGGGGGTATCCCTGGTACCCCACGGTTGATTATGGAACGTCTATAAGAGGAACAATGATGCTTATCAAACATCACTAGGTACAGCAATTATTATTGAAAGATCTCCCTTATAACGATATCTCGATTATAAAAAAAAAATAGCACTCTGTACAGGTGCGTGTTACTCATATGAAAAATTTATGGCTTTTTAAATACTTTCTGAGGGATAGACGTTATAGGTATTTTTACCGGTTGTTTTTGGGTTGTTTTTTTTTAGATGATGATTTAAACAATTGCGAAAGCGTGGATTGACGATTCAATAGATATATAAAAGCACATCCCATTGATGAAACATTTCTGTCGTTTCACAGCTCTGTTAAGGCTGCATAAAGGGGGCAGGACCTAAATTATACGGGAAATGTTTACTGTGACATCACACAAAAATAGCAATTCCTCAGAACAACAGAAAATTAAATAATTTGCGATTTTAAACTGCATAAGAGTAATGAACTACATCAAAACTTACCACTATATTCATTTTTTGTCGCTAGTTAAATCCCACACAGCAAGATATAAACAAATCACTGATCGCAAAGCACTTGTCGACATGACGTCAACATGGTAAAATCTGACGCATTCTATGTGTAGTGAGAGGCGGATCAAGTATTTTTTTTTCACAGTGAAGATTGCATGCTATTACTAAACAGAATGTTATTTGTAAATGTTAGGTAGACCATCAATACAAATATGAAACCCTTCTTTAGTGCAATAATTTTAATACTATCGAGAGAATGTATTGAATTAATTCTAACGTGCTTTTTATACAGGAATTGCATGTTTCACGCCAAGTGCTTCATTAAATCGCTTTTTTGCAAGGGCATACACCTAATATATATTGTCCATTTTTTAAATATACATAACAGAAACATTCATTAACTTGAAAAATGCTGCTGCTTTCCTGAAATCGAGAACATTACATAATAAATACATAAAATACTTGGTAAAGGTCACACATATTTTCACTAGAGGTAAATAACTTGAAATTTATACTAATAAAATGCGAATTCTATTTAAAGCAGTAGCAGTTTCCATAAACTACAAGATATGTAGAAACAATTTTTGACTTAAATTTTTAATTTTAACTAGGGTATGCCCTTATGATATTGAAATATGTTCATGACCTACATACAGTACACATTACATACATTCATCACGTGAATCTCCAATAACGTGACCAAACCAAATTCAATACAGAGAAGGGTATAAAATGTTATTTCAATTAATATTAAAATAATTTGATAATATAGAAGCTTTACAAAAATAAATTCCTTGTGAATCCAATGAAAGGAGCGAGGGGAAGACCATCAAAAAGTGATGACAAGTTGGAGAATCGGGTTTTGGACGTTATCCGGGAAAAACGACGTTTAATTGTTCCTGAAGTCGGTGACATGATCGGAGTAAGGAAACCAATGATTCAAATTCTGTTCCAATTCGTTTACTGTTGTTAAATATGCATGCGTTGGCATGTAGGTTTAATTGGTGTTGCATGACATGATTGTCTATTTCAAAGACGATATTATTGTAATGTGTAAGCCTTATAATAAACAAAAGCACAAATACTTTATTTGTCATATTGATTTGTATATGCAAAGTAATTAATTGACATGGTTACCATGTTTGATTTTGACAAGTAGATATGAGTTAAATATTTTTTATTATGTTCTGATTCACCAGTTCAATCGAACATAAATTATTTATAAAATGAAACTCTAAACACTTTTATATAGGATGAGCTCGCATGCGCGAGTGCAACAGACGTCGACGATAAAGAAAGCATTGATGATATAAGAAACATAATTTTATTAAAACGTATATGACCCCACCCCTGGATATCAAGACCCTAGGTTATCCGATTATCAGGTTCTGAAAATCAGCCTTGAATAATTGAAAATTATCACAAAAAATGTCTGAATTCTCAAAGTGATGTGTATTCACCCACGGTTATTCTTTAAACTTCATAATGAGAGTTAGTCATATTATAAAGGAAAATTAATAAATCTAGAATAACTTAGCAGGAAATGCAAATAAAAATACCTAATATCCAAATAAAAATTTATCAACAAATATATCTAGGATAAAAAAAATTAAATTAGAGGTTTCCAAGCATTTGAAGAAAACTGCATGATTTTTGTACTTCTAGGGTACTTAAATTTCTTCTTTTTGCCGCAAGTTTATTATAATGCATAGTTTATAAAGTATTTCGTATCATTGCAAAATTTCATAAATCACTTATATATTTATTTCAAACTTATATGGATTGGTATCTAAGACTAAGATTAAGGAAATTCTACTGTTTCGTTAAATATGTTCAAAGAACTTTCAATTACATTAAGATACAAGAAATGCAAATTGTTGCATAAAAAGATTGCAATTTCAAGCTTCCTTTAGAGACTTTCAGTTTCTGAATTTTAAAAAAAATATATTAAAGAGTTATCCTACCTGGCTGAGAAGGGGAAACAAAATTCCTATTTTCTCTTTAACATAACGTTTTCAGCTGAACACAAGCGCCTTCTACACAGTTTTTGATCAGTTAATCATACACATCAGCATTTGCAGTTTTGATAGCACCCCAATTAGAAGACTATAAAGACTAAAATGACTTAAAATTTTGCAAACATTCAGGAAGAAGTCCGTCTCTAAAGATATCTGAAAAAAAAAAAACTTTCGATCAAAAAGATTTCAATATCAGATTGCGATTTAAAACTACTTTATTATTCCCAAAACACCTTCTAAACACTTAGAATCCCACAGAGCTTGTGCCTATAAAAAGCACTATTACAATTTAGTCTCATATGCAGAATAATCAAGACAATGCTATATTAGTAGTTAATCAATTAAATATAAACACATACGTACAGTAATTTCGCTCTGGAAAAGGCTTTGTCTGCATAAGACAACACCTCACCACCTTCACCAAGATAATTACAGATCTTGCAACTGTAAAGGGGTTTATTTGAATGTATAAGATCCCAGACCATGCCAACGTAATCAAGATATTTGCAGATCTTGAATAGGCCATGTGTCAGATATGTCAGATCCCACCAGCTTCATTAAAGTACTGACAAATCTCGAAAAGGGCATTGTCTGCATAATACTACATCTCGGACCTTTCCAGCTTCATCAAGATACATACAAATCTTGAAAAGGACTTTGTCTAAATATACATTCAAAAATGCACCTGGACAACATTACTAACATCTGAAATACTACAACAGAAAATAAAAGTTCTATTATTAAAAATTTTGATTCATTTTCATCAAGATTTATGCTCAGAAACTGTAGAACTCTAGAACTGTTCGAACCATATCATGAAATACAAATGCATTTAATTGTTTCCAATGAACGCATCTCTCTAAATAAAATACATGTGTCTCGTAACTATTAATAAAGAAAGCATATTTTATTTTCAAGACCACACAAGGGGTAGGTATGTCCTGTAACTCAGAATCATATTCACGCATGAATGAACATAGGATCCGAGGGAGCATTCCCGGGGCAAGGCTCAACTTTGACGCTTGTCCGATTGCCCGTGTCCGACTAAGTGAATCTCCAGACACTCTTGCCCCGATCAAACAAGTAAACGTTTCGTACAATATTGAATATTCTGAAAATAATTTTAAAAATAACAAAATTCATTTTATACTTTGATATTTTTTTTCAAAATTGCAAATCAAATATGCTAGTGTTCAGTTACACCTCAACCAATATTGCCTATGGAAAGGATGTGATCGACACTATGCTTCAGACACTGTTTCTCTATTTAAGATAACTAATACATGTAGTTTTGTTTCCTTGAATAGAAAAATCTTTATAATTATTATTATAATTGATCATAATTATAATTATACGTCCATGTACTTCATTCTTGAGAGTTGTACAATTTCTTTTAATCTCTGTTCAGAGTTCAACAGATAAACAACGAATTCGGACAAGTTACATTTGTTGGCAACTTGTTTGATAGACAAGTGGATATTGTATTTACTGTGTGAGCCCTGTCTACAGGGACTGCTAGGTTTCTTTAAAGATCAGTCCAAAAGCAGTACCTTAGCAATGCCGGAGCAGGTCTATGGTAGTCCGCGGGCAATCTCATTGCAATCCTAACTTTCGGGAAAGCAGTCGAGGATCAGTTCCTGGAACTGCTTCAGTGTCGTATTAGGTCTTTCTTGTATGAAATATATGGAGATAACGAACAGTATTCAAGCTCAAAAGTCCATTAAACAATACAAAATAGGAGCAGAGCAAACACGGACCTCCAAACATCAGAGGTGGGATCAGGTGCCATGGAGGAGTGAGCATCCCCTGCCGACCGGTCACACCCGCCGTGTGCTCCTTGTCATGATCGGGAAATAACGGAAAAAATCCGTCGACAATTCAGTGTGTAAATAATGGCCTAACAATTAGTATGAAAAACGTCAGTCAGCATTTGACTCAATGATAAATTGTATTTGCTGACAAGGTCATTGTATCGACTATAGAACTTACGAAATGATGACTTTAAACGAGACAGCTGATATTCTTGTTTCATCAACTTATTTGTCAATAATTTACCTCGTTTTAGAAATTGTTCATACGTAGAGCATGCTCTTGCGTATCGAATCACTTGAGAGATATATACCCCGTATGCAGGTGATGAAGGTATATTGCTGCATAAGTAAGGGAAGTTGACGATTGAAAAGTTAAAGTCATCACGTTTATCATAAAGCTTGGTTGTTAGATTACCATTAACGTCTTTTTCAAGTAAAATATCCAAATATGAAACAGATGTGTCGGACTCTGTGGTATCTTTTATCTCAAGTTCACCAGGAACTGAACTTTCTCCAAAGCAATAATTTAATTCTTTACTTATGGTTACCTATGTACAATAAATAAAATAATCAGGATTTGTTCTTTACAAATACCTTTCTCATAATCAATATATATTTAAATTAGTTTGATTACCAAAATATTCACATCAAAATATTTTTAGGTATATATACAAATTGATTTACTGAAGGACTACATCAGATTTATCTACATCTGAATATACTGCAGACAGATAA